ACTGTCTTTATTCGTTAAGAAACCTCGAATCGTTTATGTAAAATACTTAAAAGAATTTTTTTTAGTCCTAACATGTGTTGATAGATAACATAGTTAGTTGAGTTGCTAGCAGATTTAACAGATAATCAATTTAATTTTACGATATTTATACATATATCAAATAATTGTCGCTATTTTTTAATTCACCTAAAAAATTTTATTTTACATACTTTGAAGTATTTTTAGTTATCCTTACAGGTGTTGATAGATAACATAGTTAGTTGAATCGCTAGCAGATTCAACACATGATCAATTTTAATTCTTCTATATTTATTTATGTATTGAATAATTGTCTTTATTCGTTAAGAAACCTCGGGTCTTTTATTTAAAATACTTTAAAGTATTTTTTTATTTCTTACATGTGTGAGTAGTGAACGTGGTTAGTTGAGTTGCTAGCAAATCTATCGAATGATTAATTTTAATTTTACTACATTCATTCATATATCGAATAATAGTCTCTATTTTTTAGGTAACCTTGAATCTGTTATTTTCAATGCTTTAAATTATTTCTTTATTTCTAACAATTGTTGATAGTAATGATGCTTAGATCGATAATTAATCTAACGACTAAATAACATTCATGCTTTTGTATTTTTTTGTTTTTTGGAAAACATCTTTTTATTACTTAAACTTGGCTACTTAGATGCTTCTAATTTTTTTTTGTGTTATTAAAACAGCTTTTGATAGTTAACACCGTTAGTTAAACTATTTGCAGTTCTGATAGTGTGGAAGTCTGTAATTTTACATTTTTTTGTACAATAAAGAGTTTTCTATCTGGGTAATTCCCATGACACATCTTTGTGGCCCACGTGCTGTTGATTTTTTTTTCTTTTTTACTCCTTAGCACTAACGTTAAACCACACGCCCATTTATGAAATTTCTCTTCGACTGTTACCCCCTCCATTAATTTTTCCGTATTGTCTACACCTCCAGCAAGGACCTCCTAAAGAATTTTACTAGTCAGTCTTTAACAGGTGTTGATAGTAATAATACATAGATCGGTAACAAATCGAACGAATGCATGACGTTCGTGGTCTTTCATCTTTTCATTTGTTCGAAAACATTGAATATTCTTTAATGGCTAAGATTATGCTGCTGAAATACTTTTAAATTTTTTTTGTGTTTCAAAAAAAGTTGTGATAGTTAACACTAATTTTGTATGTATTTTCTTCTTAAGTAACAAATTTTATGACCAAGTATGAAGAGGGATGATCCGTTTCGGTCATGTTTATAAAACGTCGCAGGAGTATTTAAAAAGTCATTTCTGAATCATGTATCGATTTTTGAATCGATATACGAATTTTTTATATTTTTTTTTAAATAAACAAAGTTTATGATCACGAGTAAAAGGGTTGATCCGGTCGGGTTATATAAATAAAACTCCGCAGGAATATTTAAAAAGTCATTTCTAAATTAGATATCGATTTTCGAATCGATATACGAATTTTTTATATTTTTTTTTAAATAAACAAAGTTTATGATCAAGAGTGAAGGGGTTGATCCGGTCGGGCGATATTCATGAAACTTCGCAGGAGTATTGGGAAAGTCATTTCTTAATTACATATCGATTTTCGAATCGATATACGAACTTTTTATATTTTTTTATTATTAATTAAATTTTGTGACTACGAGTAAAAGGATTAATCCGGTCAAAGTATACTTATGAAACTCCGCAGGAATATTGGAATAGTCATTTCTCAATTAGATATCGATTTTCGAATCGATATACGAATTTTTCACATTTTTTTTAAATAAACAAAATTTATGATCAAGAGTAAAGGGGTTGATCCGGTCGGGTTATATTAATGAAACTCCGCAGGAGTATTGGGAAAGTCATTTCTAAATTATATATCGATTTTCGAATCGATATACGAATTTTTATATTTTTTTTAAATAAACAAAATTAATGATCAAGAGTAAAGGGGTTGATCCGGTCAGAGAATACTTATGAAACTCCGCAGGAATATTCGAATAGTGATTTCTAAATTAGATATCGATTTTCGAATCGATATACGAATTTTTTATATTTTGTTATTATTAATTAAATTTTATGACTACGAGTAAAAGGGTTGATCCGGTCAGAGAATACTTATGAAACTCCGCAGGAATATTGGAATAGTCATTTCTTAATTAGATATCGATTTTCGAATCGATATACGAATTTTTCACATTTTTTTTAAATAAACAAAATTTATGATCAAGAGTAAAGGGGTTGATCCGGTCAGAGAATACTTATGAAACTCCGCAGGAATATTGGAATAGTCATTTCTAAATTATATATCGATTTTCGAATCGATATACGAACTTTTTATATTTTTTTATTATTAATTAAATTTTATGACTACGAGTAAAAGGGTTGATCCGGTCAGAGAATACTTATGAAACTCCGCAGGAATATTGGAATAGTCATTTCTTAATTAGATATCGATTTTCGAATCGATATACGAATTTTTCACATTTTTTTTAAATAAACAAAATTTATGATCAAGAGTAAAAGGGTTGATCCGGTCAGAGTATATTAATGAAACTCCGCAGGAGTATTGGGAAAGTCATTTCTCAATTAGATATCGATTTTCGAATCGATATACGAATTTTTTATATTTTTTTATTATTAATTAAATTTTGTGACTACGAGTAAAAGGGTTGATCCGGTCAAAGTATACTTATGAAACTCCGCAGGAATATTGGAATAGTCATTTCTAAATTATATATCGATTTTCGAATCGATATACGAATTTTTTCGGTTTTTTTTTTTCGTTTAAAAAAACGTTTACAACTTCAACTACATCAAAACGGTAAAGCTAGATATTAAGTTCTTTCATGCAAATAATTGATTTTGAGAAACAATAGCATATTTTGAATGTTCGTTATTGAAGTTAATCGATTTATCATTGATTTTATTAACATGATGAAAAAAATATTCAAAAAAATGATGACTATTTCACTGAAAAAAAAGCAGAAAAAATAGAGAACATTGTTGTAAAGACATTCATCATTGCTAGGGTAGACAATTCAAAAGAATTTAACTACATCTATCAACTGATCTCCAGAGTATTCTCCTTTTTAAGAAGTAGTATATGCACTTAATGATCAGACGCGTATAAGCTAAAAGCTGAGGTAATTCGTTCAAGTATAATAGTCCATTTTCTCATCTTTACTATTCTTTTTCTTTTTCTCTCTTTGCTTTATCTGCTCTCATTATTTTTTTTTCACTTTAAAGAATATGTGAGCTACAATTGAATGTATTAAATATTAAAAATTCTGTCTTTTAATATTTATAACTAAATGTTCAGTTATAATTGATTAATAATGAAAATTTGATGACTTTTTAGTGTTGGAATGAGATGTAGAGAAGATGGTTTTTTATTCAAACTAATATTCTCTGTAATATAAAAACGTTTTGAAAAAAATTTGCGTTTTTCAACATCTGTAAATAAAATAATACTAAAATGATACGTGTGACGTTATTTGATATTATACTTCAGATTCCGAGAGCAAGAGCATCACATGAGCAGTTTTTCTGATGTTTGAATGGTACTGTATATCATAAGACACGGTCGTTTTCATGCTGTGCAAATACGTAATTCAGTACTGAATATCGATCCATTACAAAACGCAAGCAATAGAAGCGAACATTGACCTGTCTAGAGTACTATGAATCATGAATAAATGTTTCCACCCACATGAACACTTAAAAGAAATGAAAATTATTAATCCTATAGCACGCAACTAATGAGACATAAAAAAGAAGTATTCCCAGGAAAATATTGTTTGATTAAAAATTTTTCATGCATTACTTTGCATCTAACTTTATTTTATTATAAACATCATAATATTTATCATTTTTAATGCTATTTTTTGCTACAAAAAATTATGAATATAAATTAATTTGAAGTTTGATTATCTAAATAAGATATCCAGACGAAAAATGAGCTTCGGATGAAAAAGATAATAAGCCCATAAATTAAATGAACCTTTTAAAAAAGCAAACGTAATAATGTTTGATTTGTCATTGAGTATTAATTCCGAAGAATAGCTAACAAAAGGGATCTCACTTTTGATAACTGTGTAAATGGAAAACAGTTTTTGCTCCAAAAAGATCGATAAAACGCTTCAAATATTTTATGAATTATTTTTAAGCGTCATGCTGACATTCCCGAGTTTTTTTTTTTCAATATTCGTCTTTTTTTAACAGATTTATCTTTAGATACTTTTTCGGTCCATTCACATGCATATGTATATTTTATGAAGGAATGAATGTTGCTAAATTTTTGATTTTGAAATATGAAAAATAAATAGAAAAACTCATTGTAATAATTTTCATGCAAAATTTTATTATTTTATAACACAAAAAAACCAATATTTGCTAGTTGAAATATGAGTTCAAATAAAAAACTTTTTGATTTTTATTATCAAACTATTGATCTTAGAAATTATAGACGGTAGCTCGAGGTTTCTATTACACAAAGGAGATCATTTTTATACAAAATCCTAAGACTAAAATTTTTTATTATAACGAAAGACTCCATAACCATCATTGTCTCTGTGTATAAATCATCTGAATAAAAATATTTTTTATTTCAAAAGGAAATAATTTTTTATTCGAAACAACGTATGAATGAAAAAGCTTAAAAATTATAAAGATTAATCAAAATAAAATCGTTAAATGGTTCAACAAATAATCTGGGTGTTGTGATGAGTAATAAAGAGTTTAATGCCGAATGTTATAGGCGAATAATAGAGTCGGGTGCGGTCGTAAAAAATAGTGAAGCAACACGTGAACGAAGAAACATCAGGTCACAGTAGATCAAGGCGCACCATAGTATTTTCCCGATTCCACCGGGTAGTCCAATGGAAAATTATAGAACGCAAGGAAAAGCAGCGCGGGCGTATTGGCCAACAGGATTCGGTCAATGGCGTCGACGGAACATCAGGACTGGCGCCTGCCTTCCAGTGTTGAACCGACGACCGACGTCGTATGAGTGTCGTTACGTCTCAAGCATCGCGTTCGACGTATCTTACGCTAAAGTTTAAAAGCGTGTAAATTTTTCATTTAATTAACAATTTAATTTCAATCAGATAAATTCTCTTCAGTAATTTTTAAGCAACCTATTTAATTTTTTAATCTTCTATTCCTCTTCTGCTGTCACTTGAATCGATTTTTCCTAAATTAGAAGCTTGATTGCGAAAATAATTTCCTATAATAGAATATTATTTTCCTCTAGGTCGCTTACATTATCGAAGCTTTTATACAAAGCTTCTTATACTGTGTGGATCAGGGAAAAAATTCTTATAAAATCTTTCCCAGCAACACGCTAATGTTGATGACATTCACTTTGGTGAAATCTTGAAGAAGATTGAGTTTGAGAAAAAATTACCTTATCCAATAAGTCCAAAGATAACGACATCATTTACCAGCTAAAAAAATCAGAAAATCAACAGGTGGCGTGAAATTTTATCAACACTTTTTCTGATAATAATAGAGCCTATCAACAAAACATTATTAAAAAGCTTTTTAATTGAAACTCAAGAAATAACTTGATCCACCAAGACTGACGCTAAATTGCTAAATTAATCATAGCAAGTAATTTGCGCGCAATCTAGTCGAGTCCAGCACTGTTATTGGATAAATTCTAAGATGATTGACAAACAGTTGAGCTGAAATATATTGCACTTAACTCGGATAAAACAGAGTATTTCTGAATAAGTGTTTGTAAAATAGAGTTAGTTTATACTAGTGTAGTTGTACGAACAATATAATTGAGCACGTTTTCTGTTTAAATTACAGCACGAGCCACTCAACGTATTTTTTATTGGTGTTTGAATTCTTTTTTTATAGCCATTAGACCAATATCCAAATCAATTAAAAATAAATAAACTAACGAAAATCACTTTTTCAAAATAAACAGAAAATAATTTCACAAAATTTAATGAATAATAGGAAAGATCAAAGTTCATCATCAATTCTAACACAGATACTAAATAAATCTCACAACCATTCCCTCTGTACTTCAATTTATCTTTATATTTATTATTCAATCATGTATAATGATAATATCATCATTATTTTATTTTGAGTAATATCAATGTCTAGCCTATGCACCTAATGCTTTGATGCATTTAGAATTAGCTAGGCTTCAAAAGTTTCTTGTCAATATTATCATTATTGCTACTATTTTTACCAACTCTATTATTTTGAATTCTTCAATGAAAAAATGATCTACTTTTTCTGATTTGTTCAAATAGTTATCGCACAATGCAACGGAGTGAAACGTGAATAGACAAAGCAACAACTTTTAATACTCAAGAAGCAGGAACAAAAATACAACAGTTGATAGTTAAATCTAGAAATTCAAGGTAAGCTAGAGTGTTTATCCTAACAAGTTAATTTAAAACCATGTTTTTAGTAGTCTCTGGAAATAGTTGAGTATAATTGACTCTTGGAGATGTACGTTTGTAGGCAAATTTATTTTGAATCAAGACTAAACTGCTTGATAGCTTCAACATAGTTATAAGCGCCAAATATTCGGTGAAGTGAATTGCAATGTTAACAGGTGCAATCAAGTGAATCCAAATGTATGTTTGATTTTGCCAGCCTTGACCTCTTATTTTCAAACTAGTCTATTGTAAAATGATAAGAAAGATGGGAATTTTTGTATCTATTGGTTACTCTAGTGACTTTTCTCAGATAATTCAAGCTTAAAATGTTTTTCTAAAGCATTGTTTTTGCATCATTTTTATCAAAGGGCTCAATTTGGTAGTGAAAAATAATATTGAATAAAAATATTTGATGAATATACACACTTAGAACAAGCTTCTGGCTTGTTGATGTGAGTTCAAATATTGACAAAGCTTGTTGAGTATTTATAATTGATTGATTCAATTATGTGTTCAATAGCACTTGAATCTTGTAAAAAAGCAATTTAATGCAGTCAAAAGAGCTTAATTTTACAATAATTTTATGCTTAAACGGCCTCCTATATTATCTTACATGATAAAGGCTTGGAGAATATTATATTCCAACTTTAATAAAGGATGTAAGTCTGGATCTTGAAGGTTGATTAAGTGTCTAATTATTTTATCATCAGTTTACAAATGTTATGTAACAAAACATTTTCTGGTATTGTACTCTACTTAATTATACTTAACGTAGGTTGGGGTTTTTTTTAAACTTTTCTGTGCAAAATTTCACTGATAATTGTAATGAACAACACACGGTAGAGCTATATAATATTCGACAACTGGTAACAGAAAATATTAATTAAATGCAAGATCGTGGTTAATCCCGCAAGAGACAAACCATTTAAACTTTCGAAACATTAATTAAATTTCTATGCAATTCACGAGATACTAAATAATTTACTTTAACACGTCTGCATCATGAGTTGTCACGAAGGACATCATTTCATATGCTGGAATGCATGAAAAATTTTAATCAATAGAAAAAACATTAAACAAATATGTGTTGATTAATGGAACATTTTACCGTGATTAATCATTCGATATTTGAATATTTTCAACGATATAAAATATTAAAGCAAAAATAAAAATCTATAGTTTATGTATCCAGAGGAAGTTTTATATTTAATATTAATATACCAGAGATAAATTAAATTTAGTAGTGGAGGTTTTTGCATTTAACTTCTAATTTCGAACAAATTTTATTTTATCTTGTAATTTTTTTCAGATGAAATATTCTAATAATAAATAAGTTTTACAGAATCTTGATATCCTTGATATAAAAGATTTTAAATAAATTTTCATCAAGTCAAAGCAGATATAATCTTGAGAGAAAAATAAATCTAACTGTTTAATCTTGCAAATTGTTCATTTAATAAATATACGAGTTATTTATTTATACACGTATATATGAATTGCATGGAAATTAATTTTTCATATAATCGATTCAGTCCTCATTTATTTTTATGATGGTATCAATTAATAATAAAAATAATAACCATATTTTTCATTGTAATCGTCAGCGTGTTTTTGATATTACTTAATCATCATTACATAATGATTTCAATGTATTTCATTATAATCATTTATTTTTTCAATATCATTTATTGATTAGCTCGTTTATACTTATAATATATTTAGAATTTTTATTTCACCATTTATGTGAATCTTAAAACGTTTTCTATTACATCTAAAATACAAAAAAAAATCTTAAGGAATAAATTGAAAATTTCTTTGTTCTACGACTATTCAACTCTCCTTACGTGATGTTTGAAAATTCTTTACTGAATGTCACCGTGCATATGGTGAAATATTTATTCAAGTTCTTGTGGCAGTATTTTTTATAAACTACATGTTAACATTCTTGAAATTTTATGAAACAAAATTTTAAAATTAGTATCAGTGTCTATTATCTGTGCTCCATAATAATAAAAAAAAGGCTCTATATTATTATTCTCCAATAAAAAAATTATATTTTCTATTAAAATGCAAGTATTGTGAAAGAAATAAAAATTTTTTTCTGTGTAAAAAATTGATTTTATAATTGAAAAATGGAAGCATTTTTTATAAAATTGACAATACCTACGCGTGTGTCAGTTTTATAATCAAGTTGAATAAATTTTTTTTCCGGTCAGATAGGTAAAATATATGGATCGTTGTCAAGAATAAAAAAAGAGATGCTAAGTGCTCATATAAGAAGGATATCGACCGATACTACTACGTTTAAAGGGTTTGAACTAGACTGTAATTCAAGCGAGATATTCACGGTTTAAAAGTGGGTTTTTCATACATCTCTTTTCTACATATAATAATAGATAAAGTGTCTTTCCTCGTTTCTAGAATATTAATGGAAAACTTCATGTTCCCTTTTACATACTTTTCTCATACATCCACCATTATTTAAATCCGGAAATGACATTAACATTACAAAATTGAAATCTCAGCTGATACTAGTAAGTAGAAATTACTGAATAAATTTCATTTTCATTTTATTTACTGATGAAAGCCTGTTTTTATCAATTTACTATAATTTATTTCAAATAGTCTAGAAAATAGTTACATTTATGATGACAATATTCAAGTCGAATTCCGGTAATAGAAATTAGAGAACGTCCAATGATGATAGTGTTGCTTTATTAGATTTTAACATAGAAGAACACATAGAGACCAAAGGGGTTTGTAGGTATCTAATTTCTGTCTGGTTCAATAAATAACTCATCAGTTTCACTGTAAATATATTTGCTTCAAAATCATGTATATTTGCTTCAATGTAAAATCACATTTGAATTATACAGATATTGGGTAATCTGAAAAATATGCCACGATGAACTTTGAACACTTGGATGGAAGGTCAGAAGGAAATGGTCTTTTAGAACTAGTTAAGTTTGGCATTAAGTTTCTGTGGTAAGTGTTGTAATACTGGAAAACTACAGTAATGAGAAAACTAACTTTTCAAATGTTAGCATACAAAAAAAATCAACCATTTTTTATTAAATATTTTTATTTAATTTATTTTATTGACAGTTGTATTTATTTCTGGTAAGGTTATAGAAGACTAGATGTGTACTAATAAAAAACATTCTATTGCATATTAAATCAATTACATCAAATATCCAAAAATAAAAATTTACAAAACAACCTAAAAATAATTTTGTATACAAGCATATACCTTTTTTTTTAATGTCAAGGGTAAATTACAATCTATTTTTTGAAACAACAAGTAATTCTAAAGACATTTACATGCTTTACTATTCGCTAATAGTGAGCTTTAAAGTTCACCTATTTTCCATTTTAAAATAAAAACATCTTTCAGTTTTCGTCCTATGAATTTTAATAGTACATGAGAGGAATATATAATTGCATTGACTATCAATAGTTTGAAAAGGACTCAACTATTTTCTGTCAAATAAGAAATTAGCACAGGATTGTAAATCCAACTGTAGGACTTAGCCATTAATTTTTTAGAGTGTAGATCAAATGGCTTTAATTTCTTTTACTTCTCTGTAAGTTTTATCTCTTTTGAATAAGATTACTGATGTGAATTGGTTGGGATGATTAGCAAACCTACCTAAGTATCTCGAATTAAATTTGAAAATTTCATCTTTAACTAGGTTCATGCCAAGGTTATTATAAATTGTTTCATTTGTAACAAACCAGGGAATATTGACTAAGACCAAAAGCTTTTGATTTAAATCATTGTATTATATCAATAGAGCTAGAGTAGACTAAGCTCTATAGTGAAATTCCGTTGGTAATATTAGTTTAATCATAACTTTATAAATAAATAATTGGTTCGCGAAGGAAAACAATACACGCTGAAAGAATGTTTTTATTGGATCTAAGTAAACAAAAACAAAAATAATAAATATCTCATTAGATATATTTATGTGAATTTTTTAAATAAAAGCAAATACCTTAGTTAATGACTATATCCTTATTGGAGATATTAGGATTTTCTCTGATTAGTAAAAGAAACTTTCATACAGTATTGTACAATTTTATTTATTAATGTTCTTTCGTAATTTGGAATTATTTTTTCTAAATAAATATCAATAATCAATAGAAAACAGTCATTAATTTAGATGGATAATAATACATTAATTGAAAATTTTTATCTAAAGAATATCTTTTAGATGGTAAAAGTTAATGAACCATCCCACAAGTCATTTTGATAACGCCAGGATTCAAACCTGGATTTTCCTAGCTATACTACTACTAGATCTATCAAATCCCATGCTCCTATATTTTATTAATTGTTTTTACCTTTTTTTCTGGCTATCATGACTGTTACTTTCCCTAATACCTCCACCATCCCCTTTATGACTTAGATTAATGAATTAATTAGCAATTAATAATTGCTTCATTCTGAGAGTAAGTACTTTATCTTGACATTTATTCTTTATTTTCATAAGGTCATTAAGAAGAATATTTTTCTCATCATAAGCAAAAAAACATCAAAATTTTTCCAGTAGCATCAGTACTCAATAAAATATTTTTCTAATATCAAGTACTATTCATATTTATTATACATGAAAATTCACTTGACATCAGTAGCTTAAATTCTTATCTCATAATTTAGTAAAAAATTTCTCTCAAAAATGTACTTTTCTATTTAAATTTTTTGATATACTATCGTCACTAAAATAAGCCAGGTATTGAGAAAATTTCTCACAGATGAAGTTTTAGAGGCTGAGCTGATACAGAGAAACACACTTATTACAGCTAACAGAGAATTCATGATATTGCGAAAGTTCACTGAAAGAAAAATTGACAAATAAAAATGGTACGAGATATTTCATACAATTATTTGATTCTACCATAGGGTAGTAAAGTACACTTTATTCAGTTTGTTTTCCAATTTTCTATTTCAATTATAACGAAATTCTATTACTAAGTTGATATATTCTAATGTACTACGAAATATGTTTAATAAATGAACTAATTTATGTTGTTATAAAAGCATCATTTATCACAACTAGTATTATTTCATCCTTAGTGTCAATATATATGATTGTCATTTCTGTTTCATATCTTGGTGGAGATAATATTGATAGAATTGAAAAAAATAAATTATTTACATTGACGATCACATAGTGACGCTTCATCTTCATTCCTGTCACGTTTTATCCCCTTGAGTTTTGAATCGATGGAATAATCAAACCAACCGAATAAATTTGTCTGATTCCACAAAACATTTTTCGTATTATTTCTCACACAATATCTGCAGCTATTACTATTAATCTCCTAAGATTTGCGTAATTGCGATAATTTTTTACCTCAGTATTATCTAGTGAATTAAAATAAAAACAGAATACTTTTCAGAAAAAAGATGTACTTAATATTTAATTATAAATTATTGAAAAAAACGAAATAATAAATAAATCGTAGAATGCGATATAAAAATAATTGAAGTCAATAAAAATTGTCATTTTGACGACTGTATTAAAATAGAGAATAACATCAAAAGAATACTTTAAAAACAGAGTTTGAAAAACAATGAAGCTTAATTTTCTCAAAAATGATAGAATATAGCGTTTGAAAAATAATTATATATCTATGTTTAAATGGAATAAGAATTTTACAAACTATGTAACATTTACTTTTTATTATTTTGAGATTCATCAATGTTTTCTGCTTGAGGAATTCTCATTAAAGAGTTCTTCTATCAACAATTTTTGTAGTTTTAAAACTTTAGTGTACGCTTGAAAAGTTTGCAATTATTCTTGTACTTTTAGAAGCTTTGAACTTTAAATTTCAAGGTTCATCATATATCAACAAGATAAGCTCCATTACTTTTCTAACATAACAATAATGAAACAATTTGTTTGTTGTAGATGTTTGATGTAGATTTATTCTTGACCAGAAACATTGAAGAATGAAGTAAAAAAAAGCATTTAAAAAAAGTTACTTCTATTAATTCAATTTAAACGTTCAACATTTAAATATTTTCTTTAACAATAAAAAAAAATTTGCTCTCCAATCATTATTTTAATTAATTTATGAAAAAAAGTGAATGAAAATGTTACTTTGTAATTATTTAAAAAAAACTTTACAATTTTCAACAAGTTCATTTTTATTCGTTAAAAAGTTATATTAATTCATGAATTTTATTTCTTGTCAATATATTGTTACTATAAATAACTTCAACTTCACAAAAAATATCTCTGGCAGTCATTTTAACAACCTCGCTAACAAAAAATATCGTTGAATTAAATTGATTTTTTTTCTGTAAATGAAAAAATTGCTTTCACATCAAAAAAAATATTTCTTTTTTTACATACTATTACGGAAAGTTATTCCCAATTATATTACCTAGTTAGATACTTCAAACTACATAAAATGAAATTTAAATAAATAATCCAAAGATATAATAAATAGACAGTATATCCTACGTACGTACGACGTTGGACATAAATAATATCAAAAGTATAAAATAAAAACTAAAACTTCACTATAATTTCAATATGCAGAGCTTGAAAAAAAAAATAATGAAGTATTACTTGAACTCAAATTATGAATCCAGTGAAAAAGATAGCTTTTGTAACTTGTATTTCTCTAAAAATAAAAATTACATATAATTTCAATAAAAAGCAAGTAAAGTTGTAGATGTAAGAACAATAAAGCATTGCAAGGAGAATAAAAGAGAAATGTCGAACAAGGAAAAAAAATATAGGGTTTTAAAAAGGTACTAGGAAGTTTTTAAAATATATTTAACTCTCTGTGGGCAGCTGATGACTCTGCTAATATTGAAGATGACTTCTCAAGATCCAGTTTCCTATTTCAATGTTTTCTTTTCATACTTTCATTTTTCATTCTCGATTATGACTGACGTCATGTCCGGATGACGCGAATAGACACCAAGCTCATCCAAGCTCTCTCGTCAGCCAAGTCTATCGATCGTCGTAATTTTATTTGGTGCAAAACGACATCCGACTGTCAGTGATAGATAAAATGTAGCGAAATACTTTTTTTCCTATGCACTAAATACTTTTATACGCAAGAAAAAACTGACAAAATTTATTTACCATTCGCAAAACAATATTTGATTGTATGAAATCAATCATCAATGTTCCTTCATACTCTTCGTTATAATTACATTATTGATGTGAGATTGTATCTGCTCCATCTCTCTGATTTGAAATAATATACCATGTAATGCCAATTCACGAACAATTCGATATGTGGATTTCTATCAATACTATAAATTCTCTGACGTCAAGGTTCTATATATTACTGCTTCAATATCGAATTTATCAACGTGTAATTAATGATTCTCAGAATTTTATTCCAAATTCTTAAAGAATACTAGATAATTTAATTTGGACTCTTTTTTTTTATTAAATGAGTTTATTTATTGACTTCGAATAAAACGTAACTTAAATAAATGAAAATTTATGGATATTCTTGTTTGTAAATTAAGTATTGATTATTTCTATTTATCAAATAAATTTAAATTTTTCGGTTGAATAAAAATATAAACTTAGATAAATAAACTATAATTCATTTTTTAAAAAGAATATTAAATTATTAATATTCATTTGAAATATTACTTCAGAGAATTTTTATGTTAAAAGTTGGTTAATCCTAAAAGGAGAAAAAATAAAAATAATTAATTTTCATGAATAATTGTATCTTTATTTGTATTATATTTTATGTATTATTTTCATTATTATATAACTGTTCGTTTATTATTACAATATTAATTTCAAATAACACACTTTTACCAACAAGTAGATTATTGAAATTCGCACTTTAATTGATTGATCATATCTATGACAATACCCATCATTAACGTTCAAAATCAAAGTTAACTGCTTGTACAGTTATGAAAAATTTACATAAATTTATGTAGCATCATAAATATTAAAATGCAATTATCAGAGAATTTTGAAAGCTATTTGATCAAATTTTTCTTTATTTTTAGAAGAATAATATTTTTCTCTTCAATTACCTCATTTTCAATGTCATTCGGGAAAAACCATAAGAGTAAATAACGTCAATAATATTGAATTTCTGTTTATCAGTTGGATATAAATGATTGATTTTCGATTAATCCATTTTACTGTTGACTTGATCAATTAAACTATCTTTACACAGAGTAATATCATAGACCACACTGCATGCATACTTGGCCAAACTGTGGGCAATGTTGATAATCTGATTATAAAACATGGTTCATACAAAGTCAAGTACTTTGATGGCTCAGGTTAAAATTTAATCGAAGAGTGTAGTAGACTGTTAAATATTAATCTAATAATTTGACTTGGCAGTCGATAGTGTTAATGAAATTTACAATTTGGTGCTACTTTGGTATCGATATTAGTAATGTTGGTAAATTATTTTCCCCACCAACGTCCACGACAGTGACAGACACCATTCTGACAGGTGCCACCCTTTTTTCCAGTTGCAATGCACCGCATGGCACAAACACTATGATTTGGAGTAGCCCATTGAGATTGGAATGAAAATAGATCACAGCTGAATCGTCGTGGCCGTGGTCGTGCTACATCAGAGTCAGAATCTTCGACAACATTGTCTGGATTGATTCCTGAAATAGATAAATAATCAGTATTAATAATTTACATTTAAAAATAAGAAGCCAATCTTGTAATTTTCTTTTGATTAAATGTATTTAAAAAAATTTGAACAACTTTTCAGTATTAATTATCTTCTTCTTTCGGCTTTGACGTATTCATTTATAGATGAAACATTCATTAATTTAACGTTAAGTAATAAAAATTTTCTCTTTGTTGTTTTATTTCGATGAGAGCTACACAGCTAGTGTGTGTTAAGAGGATAACTTTGATCATTTTTCAATTAGAAAAAATTATTAATAAAACAGTGAGCATTGTCGTCCAACAAATGAATCAATATAATTTTGAACGTGAATAAATGAGTAAATTTTGCTTTGAAACAATTTTTACATTATTTAAAATTACTCAACAATTCATTATTTATTGATTTTTTAATATTTTTTGTTGTTCAATAGTTAGTCTGTTTGCTTTTATTATTTAACAAGGGTTGTAAAATATTCATTTACAAGAAAAACTTGGAAGAAAAAAGGTAAAAAAATAAGTTTGACATGTAAAGGTTGTCATAAAGTTATTTATCTATTAATTATAAATATCAGTAACTTTTACTGAAAGGAAAATCAATACATTTTTACTCAGCTTTTTCCAATTAAGATAAAATAATTAACTCGTACAAGCTAAAAACTACCAAGTGATTTGTAAAGATTAGAAAGATTTATAAACTGGGTTTTCAGCTTCATAAAGTCCTTAACAATTTCGGGCTTATCCTAGTTAACTAGTTAAGTTTCATACACGTTAACTTAAATGTCTGCGTTATAGAAATTATACAGTTAGAATTTTATTTTCAATGCACTGAATACAAAGTGCAAAGTAATTGATTTTTATTCACAAAATTACTTGATGATATCTAAAAGAGCTTTCAACTATTTATTTCTATAGAATACTGATATTTGTGTAGTCTATTTCATTTACTAGTTCAATTAAAAAAATGTGTTCTAATTTAATTCAATCCAGAAACAGTACGTGAAATACTATGGTCAAAAGTAAGAGAAATGTAATGAGATCTTCCTCAGTAAATATTTGCTACAATCATCAAATAAATATATCTTTTGATAAATTTTGATGGTAATCCCCTGGATGTATTGATCACGCAATTTATTTAATATAAATAAATTGATTTATGATATCTAAATAAATATTTCAAACTGACAAACATTTATTTATTAATAATAAATTTATCAACTATTAATTCACGTGATTAATGATGATCCAAGCTATCTACGAATTATGAAACAATGAAAAATCCTGTGTTCATTATTTTGCAATATTTGTGAAACAAAAACATCATCTAAAATTCTTAAAAATTTTTTTTTTACTAAAAAAAATATTAATGAATAATGTTTGCTTTTTTTTTTAAAAAAAAGAAAAGTTTCAGCAAATATTCATTGGTTAATGTGGAAAAAAAAACTAAAAATATGAAGCAAAAATATTTCAAGCTATACAACTAGATTCTTCATAAAAAAAGCCGATAGGTGAAATATTTTAGCTTCTCGGGAAAAAAGCTTTATTTAGTATTAAAACGAAAGAAAAAAAAAATAAATAATCCAACTTCGTCTCTGGAATTAGATAAAATTATTTAAACTTCAGGAAAATAATTAGATTTAATAAAAACAATAATATTAATAATTTAAATTTTACGTCGTTCTATTTAGAATAAAAAATTCCTTCAACTGTCCTCTTAATTACAGAAACATCAGATCATAAAAATATTTCATTTCTCGAAAGAGAATTCTCATGTTCCAGAAAATAGTAGATATTAAGGAAATAACTCAACTACAGAAGTGGGTTATAAATAAAATTAACTACACAAATTTTTGTTTAATAAACATAAATGTTGAATTTAGTAATTCACTAGTTGAAAAAATTATTTTTATCTAATTCTAATATTTGCTATAATACATATATATTTTTTGAACAATTATTAATATTGATTACCTGTATTTTTTTAGGATTATCATTAATATTAAAACTTACCATCATCATCAATGAGATCACCTTGGTAGAGATCATCAGATAATGCAGCAGCAGAGATGTAAACGACAACACAAGAGAAAATGAAAAGTTTAGCGAATAAATGCATATTTGCATAAACAATATTAGACAATCAGTTCGCAAATTCACCGTTAAATATTGATAAAATTCCTAGAAGTTGGCTTTTATACTCATTAGCCAGGAAAAGATTATCTCAATCCTGTGCATGCTATGGTTTCCGGCATTAAAACAGGATTCGATTGCAGGAAAATTGAGAGGTTTAACGAGGAAGGAAACATAAACCGCGTGTCCTGTGGTTCACTTGTGTTCGCATTGAATCTATAAATTTGTCCGGAGATTGAAGATCCGTTGCATCGGATACCGTTCAAGGACACATGATCGTTCTGATAAGAAGCTGTGTTAAGTGAACTATAATATAGCTAAAAATAATTATATTCTAATTAAAATAAATAATACAAAAAAGCAAGCAAGTTATTTAGATTAATTTTCTATTTATTCTGATGTATTTAAATAAAACAAGATTTTTTACTTGACACTTAATAAAGAAAGAACAGAATAGGGGAATTTAATATAATACATTGAGAAATAAAGCCAACAATTTCGACTGAAATGGCTCTAAGAAATATGTCAATGTTAATATTAAGTACTGAAAGTTTAAAAATTGAATAAAAATACATTTTTTTAATGCTAATAAATTTTGAAATTGAGCTGAAATATTTATTAGTTGTTGAATTTGACCTAATTCGAAAGAATTAATTATCAATAGCTGACAATGAGATAAAATTCATTTTTATTCTGATAGCTGATAAAAAATTTCAATAGATAGTATTCTAGATTTAATTTTGTTGTTTATGAACAACAATTCAACTTTTTAGGAAATTATTTTTTTTTTTAAATTTAAAATCCAGAATTGAATGTACTTATTTGAAATTTTTTGATTACAAATTTGTCAATGGAAATAATTATGAATCTTATAAGAGAAATAATATGAAAGTAATATCCATTAAATTGACACGACTTTATTACATGTTTTCCAGTGAAAACTCCATTTTCATTCTTCCAAAACTGTTAAACTTGTAAAAAGGTTTGATAAAATATACTCTATATACTTTAAATGAAATTTTACTTTAATATAAACTCTTGAATTTATCCAATATTAATATTTGGTCCAACAAGTTCATCATATTGATCATCAAGCTGTTCTTTTCTAGAATTTACTCATAAATTCATTAGAAATAGAATCGAACGAAACAGTTGATTGAATTAATCTGCATTTATTTTAATAAATCAATCCATTAATCGACCTTTAAAAAATTACTATTTTAAGTCATATTTATCTCAACCATGCCAATTAGAAAAAAAAACAATACAAAAAAGTAAATATCACAATTTATTTTCTACTTTGCACAAGGCTAAAAAAATTATAGAAAAAATATAGGTCTTTGAGTTTTTCATGCCCTGCAGAAGATAAAACATTCTTTCAAAAGAGTCAATTCTCTTTTCTCAAAGTTATTGGATGAAAAGCAATAATCCTCGTTCTCATCTAGTTTCAGTAGAATATTAATTTTCCATAAAAGCTCTTCAAAGACATTTATGATCTTCTTACAGCCTAACATCTCATCAAATTCAAATTTATCTTGAGACTTTTCAACACAATCTCTCGAGCAAAGTACACTATCAGTCTACATGTATTTTTACCACTATCTGTTTCAGAGGACTCTTAACAATAATGAGGAAGCAATTGTATTCACAGAGTAGTGGTGGTGAACCGCAAATAATAGTGGAAGAGAGTACTATTGGCGAAGAGGAAGCTGAACGAAAGAGAGATGAATCTCCACCTCGTTGTTTGGATCCGGATTCTCCGTCTCTCAATCCTTATTTACTATCACCATGGCGAGAGACACGTAAACATTCCTTACCAACTCCCCAATGTACTTCAGGAATTACTGCATCTCAGGTAAGAAAGAAAAATAAGAAGAAAGCTCTTTCAAGAAATCGTGAAATCGAGTCTCCAATAGTAAAGATAACTTTGATTTACAGATTATTCCATGAACAATTCAATGAAAAAAAATTCAATTTTAATTAATATTATAAGTCTCTTATCTTTTCCAATAGTTTACCTTATAGAGAAATGAATATTGGATTCTTTTATCTTGCTGGAATAATTGGAAAATTTTTTTAAAACAATCTATTAGACAAAAATGAATTAACTTTTTACAACAGCTTGTTAATTAATTCCATCTTAGTGTTGTTTAATTATTATTTATACGTATAATTGATAATGAATTCTGATCAAAAAGTCCTTGAGAAGTTTTCCTTGAAGTATAAAGAATCCTGGAAGAGCGAGGAATTAATTATTGATTAATTATTTCCCTGGGACAAAATAGGTAAGACGTCTGAGTGAACGAGGAGGTGAAGGTTCTGGGCCATCCCCTAGAGAAGCTGCTTTCTTAGCAACACTATCCCAAGCACCAGCACCCCAACCAGGCGGACGAAGACATTCAGTTGTAACTATTTCTAAAGTTCCAACGACTTTATTTGGCCGTAATCGTCGTGAATCAATTGCTGCGTTTCCATTGGGAGCAACTCGAATTTTACCAATTCGACGTGATTCATCCTCTGGATTGGGAGGTCCTCCAAGCAACTCTGGTAGTACTCATAATCTTCAGTTAGATATTATGGATGATATAGCAGAGATAAAAGCCCGAAAGGTAAAGAATGAATCAAACTTTTTTAATATATTAAATTTAGGAGACAAAAAAGGACAGATTTTTTGCTGATAATAAGAAAAGAAGTTATAAAAATTTTTTTAATTAAATTTCTCTAATTTGAAAAAGAAAAAATGTTACATTTTATAACTTTTGTAAAAAACAAAAAAAATCTGTAGCAAAACAAATGATATTTTTTTTAATGGAATTAATGAAATTGGAGTAAAAAGAAAGAAGCTGGACCAGTTTAGAGAAAAAGAAATCTCATTCTTGAACTAAATGCAGTGGAATTTCAACAGCAGTTTTTAGTTTAAAAAATACTTGAAATAATTCAACATTTTTGAAAGAATCTCTTTTTTTCAGTCAAACTAGTCTCGTTAAACTTTCAATGGGTTGAGTGAGCCAAAAAATGAAACTTATTATACTGTACATCTGGATAAAGACAGTTTCAACTCACCACAGTAAATTTCAAGTCATCTCTATACTTGAATATCTCTTTCACAAATCTAGTGACTTTATTTTATACAAATCTGACAAAATATTTAATTTTTCATAAAAAAATTACTTCAATGTCATAAATAAACTTCTTGAATATTTTAGCAAAAAATCTACAGTGATTCGTTCAGCTTTGTTTAAAAATAAACCTAAGTAAAATGATATATTCTACCAAATAATATATTAAAGCTCTAATTTTTTATTTTTAAAGGTCTATTTGAAACGTTCTTCTTTATTAGGTTCGTTTGAAGATGTGGAAGACACCGTCACGTGAACGAATATGCGAAGTTCAACCATTAGAAGGCAATAGTTCATCTCAGAAATACACTCAACAACATCGTCGATTCTCTGACTTTGCTGCATTATCTTCAATACCAAGCCCTAGCTCTTTATTAAGAAGACGTGCTTCAGAGTATCCAAAACCATCAACGTCCTCATCAACTAGTGGAACTTCACCAGGAATCATTTGCTCTAATACTGATCTTATTTCTATCCTCAGCTCGTTGACATCTTCAGCTACAGAAATTAATAGATGTGGTGAAGAGAAAGTGACGCGAGACGACAATAAGAGTACGAAGAATGTTGAACATAAACGACGACAATTAAAGGATTTTCGATCTAATAGTTTTGACGTATCTATTCTACATGGAACAGGGAATAAACAAATTCGTAGCTTAATAAAAAATGCCAATAAAAATGAACCAGCATTCAGTTGGTTTGTTAATCGCCATAAACCAATGTCAAAAAAACAAAAAGGTATGGATATAACTCTGTCTTCATTAAGTGAGAAGCTTGACAAATTAAATGTTATAAAAGCTGTGAAAGAAACTTTTGTTAAATCAACATCACCTCCGAAAGAATCTTCAAGGCATAAAGTTGTATGGGATGACGCAAGTGGTACTAAAGTTGATGCTCAAATACTTGGAAGTGCTATAGAAGAGTTTTTAACATCACAAAGGAACAGCGACATCGATATAACAAGATCTAAGTCTAGTAGTAAGTCTGCAACTTCTCCAATACAGCAGAAATCTGGGAAAATCAGCAGCTGGTTTTCTGGAAGCAACGAAGGGGAAGAGACAACAGAAGCATCAATTTGTTCATCTTTAAAAGACCTTTTTGTTAAATAAATGTATTGAGCAAATTTTGGTGAAGAAACCGTCACTTATTTTGTACAATTTAATTTACTGATTGAATAAAAAATCAAATTCAATAACCTGCTACACATTAAAGACTATTCTAAAAGAAAGTCTTCGCTGGTCGAAGACATTAAATGAATTTTAATCATTTGGAGGCATTATTTTTTATTCCAAATCACTATCATAAAGAGAGTTTCAAAATAATAATAATGGAAATTATTAATTAAAAAAATATAAATATATATATATATACCAAAGGATAGTTTTAGAGTTTTAAAATATTTCAAATACTGAACTGTTTCATTGATGATTAAATATTAAACAGATTATATCAAGCTTTTAATTTCACGATGAAACAATTCACAATGTAATATTATTTATAGTTCTATAGACATCGAGATGAATAATTATTTATGAAAAAAACTTGAGTTAAAAAAGAGAAACTATTTTGTTATTGATTTATATAAAATTGAACAAAGAAAAAAATTATTTATCGAAGTTAACAAATCTTACTATCAATGTTAGAATAGATGATACCTATATGACATTTGAAAGTGTGAAAATTACTAAAAAAAATGATTTAAAGACCATCAATTAAATCTATAAACCGAATTATTTGAAAATATACAAGATAACTTTAATTATTATTATTAGATAATTGCATTAATTATAATCGCATGATTGTAATTAGTAAATATCTAAAATTAAACATTAATGTAATTTATTGTTTTTTTATTGACTTATATATCATCATTGTTGTATATTTATTTATGGTAACAGTTTTCTCATTAATATAATTATTATTGATGAAAAACAAATTGAATTTGAATGTCACTGATACATTAAAACAGTTGCATGAGAATGTTAGTAAGTTAGATTTTCTGCAATGACACATTTATCATCATATTAAAGTGTAAATAGATTTGACACTGTATGTACTTTGAATGTTCCTAAGCGACATGTAAAATAATTGTGAAGGCTATTACCTAATACATTTCGATGTCACATGTCGTAATACTAGAATAAGACCTGCCTTAATACCTTGATGGGATAACGACTGGAAACTGCAGAATATTTAATAGTTTGTCATAACACGGATGACTGCAATCACACCTTGATAATAATTTCAAACGATACATGTGATCAAAACTCCAGAAATTATCCTGTCAAATCTCCTTTAAATAACTTTTCGGAGTTTATACTACATTCTCCGATCCTCGAAACAATAACGAAACCTGTGAAACATCCTACTGTAATGTTTTTGTTCTGGAAGACTATTAACATGATGTTATATAAAATAAATTGTAAATGTTAACTTGATTGTCTGCTATCATCGTTTCTATTCATTTAACATGAATAAAACCCTTCATTGCCTTCAATACTGAATTGAAGGAAAATATGTTAAGTTCTTTTTCTTTATTCAATGAGGTTGTTAATGAAATACACCATATTATTTCTGAAAACAATTTATTGAGTAGAAATAGTCGACAATGATTGAAGATACACTCTTCAGTTGTATAGAACGGAATGATGTAATTTTATAAATACACTTTTTGAATAGAAAATACATCAATCATGAAGAAAAAATGAAAAAAGTACAAATTAAATGCAGAAATGATTAAAATATCTAGACAAAGGATTGATGAATCTTAATTAATATCGATGAAGAGTGTAACTGAAAATTAAATATCAAGGTTTGCTCAAAAAAGGTATTTACTGAGCAACAGAAGGATATCTAATACAAGAAACTGTATTTTTCATAATGAAGTTTTTTTGATATTAATTATTGACATACTGACATGCAGTAAGGATTACTTTTAATTTTTTAATAAGATTATTAAATTGATGGAAAGCACGTGACATTTTACGTAGTATTTATGTTGTTGAAATTTTTATCTGTAGCTTTGAGACAAATAATTATTGGAAGCAGTAGTAAAAACGTAGAACATTCGGTCATTGAATGTGTTATAGGAATTATAAGAAGGTACTCAATGTCTACATGAAGTGCAGTCAGTAGTTTTTAAAGTAATTTACTGATCTAGTTGACCACAATCAGCAATCATGACCTTTTTAGATGTTTTGCCGCTCTGAGAGCCATAAGATTCCAACTGAAATAAAAAAAAAAATTTATTTTTAACAATCCTTTATCGATTAACAATAACGACTACCTTATTTAGCAGGAGCTAAAATAAAATTTGTTAAAAATACAATAGATAATTACCCTTCTTACGACGTCCATTCCTTCGACAACTTTGCCAAAGACCACGTGCTTGCCATCAAGCCAACCTGTCTTGACGTAAGTAATGAAGAATTGACTTCCGTTAGTGCCAACACCAGCGTTAGCCATAGATAAAACACCAGGTTCGTTATGCTTCAGATCAAAGTTCTCATCTTCGAATTTATGTCCATAAATGGATTTTCCGCCAGTGCCATTGTGATTTGTGAAGTCTCCTCCTTGGCACATGAAATTTGGGATGATTCTATGGAAGGTGCTGCCCTTATAACCAAATCCTTTTTCTCCAGTACATAACGCTCGGAAATTTTCAGCAGTTTTAGGTACTACATCGCTTCTCAACTAAAAAGGAAAATTAATATTCTAAATTTCATTTAACTAATGAACATTAAATACGTAATCACGCGGTGTACTTATACACAATAAATGGAATTTTCCACGCGTGACGCAAATACGTGAGTCGGTGAAAATAATATTTCATGTCAGTACAGCCAAAAATGGAAAATATCAATAAAAATAAAATAAATAGTTGATAATGTGAGATTATAATGATAAACAAAGAAGTTATAATCATAATAAAGACTAATATGATAAAATAGTAAGTTAAATATAGTTAATGGCGCCAGTGATGACTAACATTGCGAACCGGTCGTGTGAGTATTTACTCATAAAATGGTATTAAAATATTAATTATCAATCATTATTATTTACCTCCATAACAATACGACCAACTTTCTGTCCATCGACAGTTATATCGAAGAAAGTACGCGGTAAACCCATTTTTTCAGCTACTGCAGCAAAATTTCGCACGAATGAAGCGTTAGACGGTCGACTACGGCGGGCGGTAACTCCCAAATGGCTGAAACTACTGAAGGTCGAATCAATTGACAACCGGCAGATCGATGCCAACGCCATTTTCAGTCAGATCTCGTGTAAAAAGACCGTCAAGTTTGCTGATAAAAAAAGCTATTCAGTGCTATTTTGTCAGAAATGATTAATAAATTATTTAATTAGGCTTATAAGTTCGTAAAATGTTGCGTAATCTTTTTTTACAACGAAGTTCAAAAATAATATATTTTTTGAGCATCAACGTGGTTGTGAATTCAACCAATGAGTTTTAATCTAGAGGACAACGTTAATCAACTTCCGGTCTATTCCAGAAGTGACGTAGTTCATGGAAAAAATTTTTGGCAACGGAAAAACTAAAGTCCCGGCCATATATCCGTGACTCTAGACATTTGAGTAGTTTCACAACCATATAATTATTAATTTGTCGAATATTGTATGCAAGCCAATATGGTGCCCAAGTGAAGGACGCTTTGTGTGGTGTTATATTTATAATATTTAGTTGATCTGTAATTAAAGTCGAACAAATATCTACCTCAAAATCATGAGTAACCTGTCGCCATTTGGTGGAGGAAAAAATCCACCGTGGGTTAGGAATGCTGGTAATTACTAATTATCATTATTTTGTATTTTCATTCATTTATTTTGAAGCTCATTTGCGCAATAAAGTATTACGATGTTTAAATATTTATAAATAAAAGTCAGGAAGAAGGGTTTGTTGTAAGAACCATAAAACATTATTTATTTTTCTATAATTATTCTCAATTTCTACTATCGAAGCACGCTATACTAGTTGATAAGATATTATCATTCATATGAGTTAATAAAATATTATCCAAGACTAAAAAAATGATCAATTCTTCATTAAATAGCTTAATTATTCATGTTTGTAGAACATAATACATAACTCTTTATTTATTTCAATATACTTGAAGCATTCATAATTTAAAAACATGTAATTAAAGATCTAGATGGTGTAATAATAGATAACTGAATGTACATGAGATAAGGAAAAGTTGTTTAGCAATAGAAAAAAAGATAAGAAAATCATTGAATCATGAATTGTATGTTTTATAAAATTATAAAAATTACAAGTTAAATACAATTTATATCTTTCAGGCCAGGGTATTCAGAATATTCAACAACAAATGTTGGGCCAAATGGGAAACATAGGAGGACAGCCTATGGTTCAATATCAGCAACAGACTCAGCAAGTTTATCAGCAGAGTCTAGGTTTACAGCAGGTAATTAATATAAATATCGATTAATAAATAATTTACTTACTTTGTATTATGCAATATCAATCAATAATACAATTCTAATAAAGTCTTCTTTATTTCAGCCAAACATAACAATGGCGTCAATGGCAACCCTTGGATCTAATCTTCCAACGAGTATTACAGGTCAATTATATCCTCAAGTTGCTACAGTATCTTATCCAACACCTAGAACTTTAAACACCAATGCCTTTCAACAATCGGTTACGGGTGTATCTCAACAAGTTCAGCAGAATGTTCCTTCATCATCCACAAAACAAAGAGTTTTTACTGGAACTGTTACTAAAGTCCATGACAATTTTGGCTTCGTTGATGAAGACGTATTTTTCCAAACCAGGTATGTAATGAATAATTATAGCTAATTACAATAATAGTTTTAATTTATTTACTGTGAAAAAATGACAGAATTAAGATAAGTATTGAATTCCAGCGCATGTGTGAAAGGCTCGAATCCAATAATCGGAGATCGTGTGCTCGTTGAAGCATCTTATAATCCCTCTATGCCGTTTAAGTGGAATGCCACGAGGATACAAGTGCTCCCGATGGGAAACAGTAACAACAATAATAACAATAATAATAATAGTAGTAGTAATAGTAGTAATAATGCCAGCTCTCAACAATCTGCTCAACAATTAAATCGTCAACAAAACAATCGACAATCGGGAACCTATAATGCCGTACCACCACCCACTGACAATACAAGTAATAGGTACTTATGTTTTAATAATGTTACAAAAGATTATCTGTTATTTATTGGAATTTTTTATTATCACATTCGTAATTGTTTTCCTGGAATACATCGACCTAATTAATCACAAACATATTCTAGCATGTTCATGCATCAGAAGATTGAAACATTTTTTTATGTGTTAATTGTTGATATTTTAAAACATTCGATATTACAGTAGATTCATAAGTAATAATCCTCCAACTAATGCTGCAAGCAATCGGAATAAGGCAGTTCGAGTAAGAGAGAGATCACCACGAGAACGTAGAAATGAAGATGATGAAATTGAACGAAAACGCCGCCGAGAGGAAAGAATTAGGGAACGTGAGAAGAAAGAAGAACGAAGTCCATCACGAACTCGACGGAGTAAGTCTCCGAGGCCTCGTCGTCGTACAAGAGTCGTACCGCGTTATATGGTACAAATACCAAAGATAGCACTTGATTTGTGAGTAGTATTTATTTTACCAAAATTATACCTAAATAATTACAGATTTCTACAAAATTAATGATAATATTTTAGGCCAGAAGCAGATGTGTTAGAAGTTCGAAGACGTTATCAAAATATGTACATTCCTAGTGATTTCTTTTCTACAAATTTCCGATGGGTGGATGCGTTTCCGCCTCACATGCCGTTCACTTTAAACAAACCATGCACTTTTCACGTTATGCACAAAGACGTAGATCCGTGTATTGAAAATAATGCCGTTCTAGAACCACCAGATGCTGATTATTTGTTTTCAGCAAAAGTATGTATGCATATAAAGCATCAATCAATTGTCTGGTGCAATTATTAATGAATTTAATATACTTTACTCTAGGTAATGTTGATCTCAATGCCTGCTATGGAAGAAATATACAAACGGTGCTGTGGAGTTACCGAGGACAGAGATCCCGATCGTGATTATGTCCATCCAACCCGATTAATTAATTTTCTAGTAGGATTAAGAGGCAAAAACGAAACAATGGCAATTGGAGGACCATGGAGTCCTTCTTTAGACGGTGCCAATCCTGAAAAAGATCCGTCCGTGCTTATTAAAACCGCTGTCAGAACCTGCAAAGCACTTACAGGCATTGATTTATCACACTGCACGCAGTGGTAAGACTTTTTATCATAGCAATTATCCGATTATTTAAAAAATTATCGATACTTGAAATTTTACACACTAGAGTTTCGGCAAATCTGATAAATTAAATTTTGCAAATTCTTGTCTTACCGTCACTTGCATCAAACGATTTCAATGCACTAGATTGTGTGCTCTTCGTTAGCTGCCAAACTGAGAGTAGATACGTGGCTTTTTATATTTCTCTATATATATACATATATTATATCTAAAAAACGGATTATACAGTGGCTGTTGCAGTTATACCCGATAGACTAATTTTGTAGCTCATTGCTGAGAGAGGTACGTATTAAAATATTATTTGAATCCTGATTGGAGAGTCGCGGACTGGATCAAATCAACTTAAAAAATCAAAACATACCGAAGGAATGAACGATATTTCAGGGTATCGCCAGCATTGTCTCTTCCTCTTTTTTTTCGTCACTGTGACTCATTAATATGTGCTTGCTGAAGATATTGAAATGTTCTGTGCGTCGCTTTTTCTGCAGTGCGTGGGCTTAAGAGCAAGCAAATACAAATGAATTTAGCATATAAGGCGAGGCTAAATGCGGCATAAAGCTGAGTTGACGTTTCGATATTGTTTTTCCTTGCGGCACAGGTATCGCTTCCTGGAGCTCTACTACAGACGTGCTGAAACTACCCACAAGTCAGGCCGAGTGGTGCCTTCTCGTGTTGAAACCGTCATACTATTTCTCCCAGATGTTTGGAGCTGTGTGCCTACCAAGCTGGAATGGGATAGTCTACATCTCAACTATAAGAAACAACTGGAGCGAAAGCTGCTGCGTGCTGCATCTAACCCCGACGATTCGGATGCTGCCAATGACGCTGATGAGGCTACCGTCGCTGATCAAAAGGCACTGCCCACATCATCCCATATTTACTTCTACCTTCTTATACCTTATATTTATTATTATACCCTTAGATTACATTATCGTCGAGCTGTTTCTCCCGTGACTAAACTGATTTTTTAGTAGGCAGCGTTTACTTATCGATCTTTTAAGCTCTACTTTTTCCCTTTTTTAACTTGATATACTATTTTTTTATTTTATTTTTTTGCTTCAGATACATTTTTTACTGAAAAACAGCACAATACGATTCAGATAAAAAAAAATATAAAGTCATCTTATGCAAGCTTTTTTTCGTAAAATATATATTCATTGTTGAAAAACTTATTTTTAAAAAGAAATGAATAGAAAGATCGATAGATGAATGCAGCAAAGAGCCCTTAGCCCAAGGCAGTCTCATTGCATTAACAAGCTAAGTGGGCAAGCACAGCTCGGAGCACAGCCGAGCTTTTTTATTTCCCACCACCCTCATGCTCAATGTTTGAATCATTTTAAAACTTTCATTTTGACCTCTATTTTGTATTTTCTACGTTATTGATATTACTTATTACTTATTCATTACTTACCAACTACACCGACACCAGAGCCAGGACACTAAGAGAGTCTAGGAGAATTATATTATTACTATTAAGTCATTATTCTTGAGGGTCAACGTTAATACTGATCTATGTGTCTTGTAATACTGTGAGAGAGTAGAGAAAGAATGAAGAACAGGGGTTGGTTACGATTGGTTATAAGGGTTGCTTATGTTTGTAGTTTTTAAAATTGTATTTTTAATTCATTTTAATGACAATTATTTTCTGTTTTCAGGATGACATATCTCCTGAGAAGAAAGATCCTACACATTATTCTGAATTGGATCCTAAATCTATGAATGTAAGTTCTGTGATAATTTATTCAACAACTCCATTAGCTTAGTACCTATTAATTTTCTTACATTTTAATCCTCAATTTTATTTTTTTTTTATTCAGGTTAATGAATTGCGCCAAGAGTTGGCAGCACGAAATCTAAGTTCAAAAGGGCTCAAGTCGCAATTATTTGCACGACTAATGAAAGCCATAAAGTCAGAACAAGCTAAAGAAGAAGGTCGTCAAGATGAGATCGACGATAATGAGGAAGAAGTTGTTACACCTCTCAAAGAAGATCTGAAAGATGAAAAAAAAAGTAAAGAGGTGAGAAAGTCAAATTATGCTTATAATTATCTTATTTTTATGACCTCATACATAAATGATAAAATAAAAAATTATATGTGCAGTATGATGAGGAGAAGAAAAAAAATATGGAACGTGAAAGAGCACTTTTGGAGAAACGTTATGCATTACCAGAGTCTTCGCATATTATTGTTCATCCTTCAAGAGTGGCTAAAAGTGGAAAGTTTGATTGTACTGTTATGTCACTCAGTGTTCTATTAGACTACCGTCCAGAAGATACAAAAGTAATTATATTTAATTAATGGTATTCATATATTTACACATACATTTGATTAATTAATGTTATTATTCAGGAACATTCATTCGAAGTATCTTTATTTGCTGAACTATTCAATGAAATGCTCATGCGAGATTTCGGTTTTCGTATTTATCGTTCTCTCTGTGGTCTGCCTGAAAAATCTAAAGATAAAGAAGAAGACAAGAAGAAAGATAAAAAAGACGAAAGAAGGGATGATAAGAAAGATGACAAGGAAAAAAGGAAGGACGATGATAAGAAATGTGCAAAGAAAGATGATAAGAAAAAAGAAAACAGTAAAGATAAGAAGGATGATAAAGATGCGAAGGGTAAAACTGAAGATCGTGATAAGGAAAGAGAAAAGGAAGAAGATGAGGATGACGACGACGATGAATCTGAGGTAAGGAAACTAGTGAATATTAATCTTTTATGATTATTATAATGATGAATAATTTATATAGGATGAAGATTCGATAAAAGATGGGAAACGTGATAGAGATAAGGATGGAAAAAAGAAGAAAGTTAAATTATATACTTACGATCCGTATCTGCTCTTATCATTTGTATATTTTGATCAAACACATTGCGGATATATTTTTGATAAAGACATTGAAGAGCTTATTTATACACTGGGACTCAATTTATCTCGTGCACAAGTTCGTAAACTTGTGCAAAAAGTTGTAACACGTGATTCACTTCATTATCGTAAGTTAACAGATAAGGCAAAGGAAGATGATAGCATCAAGGAAAATAAAAAAGACGATGAAGATCCTGATAAAGGCGATGGTTCATCCAAAGCTGAAGAAGATGAGGAAGTTTTAAAATCTTTAGCACTTGGTAAGATATTCTTATATATTATTGTTGTTTATTTTAAAGTTAATGTTCAAACATTTTTTATAGGTAATAAAAAATTACTGCCTGTATTCGTGGGAAGTGGACCACCATCAAAGCGAGCACGACGTGAAGATAGTGAGGGTACTGAACAAAATAATACCGAAATGGTTCCAGAAGGTTTTGTTATGTATAAAGGATCACTTCTTGATTTAGAAAAATTAGTTAGTCAATTAAAACGATCAGAAAAAGCGCGTTTAGACACTGAAACAAAAATGATGGAAATTCAACATGAATTAAATGCTGTAAATGATAAATCACATAAACAATCTAGTACTATTAAGGATATATCTGATGACTTGAAGATATATAAAGACAAACTACGGAATACAGAGGAAAAATTAAAAAAAGTTTCGGTAATTATTGGTTTATTTTATGGTACTTTTTCATGTTTTTTGATTCGATCATTCATTAGTAATTTATTTTTATTCTACAGTCGGAATCTCATTCATTTCTAACCGCATTGAAAAATGTATATCATACAACGTCCAAAGCAATACAAGCCGAAATCAAGAAAGTAGAAGTAGTAGAAATTCAAGATGAGAAGACGACAGAAGTAAATGGAGCGCAGGAATGCAAGTCAAAGAGTGATAGCAGATGGAGTGATAGTAAAAATTCAATTAAAAAAGAAAGTAATGATGGTGATAAAGATAAAAAATATGATACTAAAACTGCAATCAAAAAAGAACCAGCAGACGTTGAAAAAGATAAAGATAAAAAATAATCGTTTACATATTTTTTACTATTCGTATTTTAAAGTCATGAAGTCACCACTCTATCTGCAATGTAGTAAAAAATGTGTGCTTAGAAACACTTTAATCTACAATTTTTACTTATTAAACTTGTAATGATTATTTAATTAATTTAGTGGAGTTTAACTTTGAAATATGAATAAATTAAGTTATAAATTTTAATTTAGATATATATATATATATATATACATATATATGTAGCAATACTTTTTTAAAAGTATCATTGAAGACAATTATTTCATTCACAACTGTTTTACAGTAAGGTTGCATAATATAACAATTTGTTATTTAATCCGTTATGTTTGTTTTTTACCATCATCATCAGTCAATTCGATAAAAAAGAATAAAAGTATAAAATAATTAATCTACTATAAATTTTGTGTATTAAAAATGAATTAAATAAATAATGTAGGACACTGGTTTATAAAAAAAAATCTCAAAATAAATGTAACTATATAATCGGTTCGTTTCATAAATTTAATATACAGTCCTCTAAAATTATTCCATTATAAAAAAATAAAATAATTAGTTGATTCAATTAAGTGTCTAATGTTTCGTTGGACTAATCAAAATAATGTTTGGTTATTAAAATAATTGAAAAAAATTCATACTGAAGACACATCTTTAATAAATTACTCTGAAAAAATTTTTTTATCTAATTTCTAACAAAAGCAATACGTGATGCATAAAATTATTCTCAATATTAATAAAAAGATTATTATATTATAACGCAATGTTAGCCTTATCCGACTTCCTATCTGACTGTCATTAGTGTGTGCGATAGACAAGAGCCATAATCAATATCATATTTTTCTCCATCTTTATGCATATATTATTTATTTATAAATAATATTTCTATATTGATTGAATGTTTTACTCTGTTGTCTACTTATGAACAATCAATGATGACATCAAAAAATTGTTCGATACATAAATTAACCATGCACATATGAGGAAATGTTTAATTCCTTTAGAAGTCTTTATTTCTATCTGATTTTAGAGGAATTTCTGATATATAGGGCCTGGAATTTTTGTCACTATCCAGGTTGGATGAAAAGTTAGCTGGTATTCAACCATAAAAACATAAAAATAAAGGTATCTTATTATAAGAACAGAACAATAAAGAGGTATTCCTCACTATATCAAGGAGGGACGTATAAATAAGTCCAGAAGTCTAAAGTCCCAAATAGGGCAAAGCCACGAAAACTTATTGACCTAAATAGGTGATAATTACAAAAAAGTTGAAATCTCCAACCAGTATTATCATGAACAATGTAGCATAGTAGTTCAAGATATCTCAAATTAATTAGAATTCTGATACTCAAGAACATCGTTCCACTTTGCATGCAAAAATCAAGATTTTTCATGAAAAACGAGTTTTGGTATGCTCATATCTGATCAAATCAGTATTATGAGATAGTACAGATCTTATATCAAATATATATTAAAATGTAATTTTTCGACCAAATCTTGTCCGATCAAATTATTAGATGATTAAATGATATACTTTTTAGAAGAGGTGGCAATTTGTTGAGAAATCCATGGCAAGAAATTGATAATATCAATATAAGCATTACACGATCTTTCAACTTTATCAACATGATATAACATTAAAAAAAGTAAAACAACTCCAAATGTGAGTGTAAAAGAATATTATAATTTGAGTCTATTACATATATACTATTTTATCAAAACGACTGGTTTTAGTACTTGGAGGAAAATATTTAGATCAGAATTATTTAAATATTGAAAGATTTCATGCATGCAATCTGATGGCAATCTTCTAAGAATATTTGATTTTAAAAATCTTTGAATTTTCTTATATAAATTACAGCGCCGTTGAATATCACGTAAATGACATTTTAGAAAATTCCCATAAATAGGAAATACTACCGATAGCTCATCTGATTTTATGATATTCGCTATATTTTCGTTGCGACTATAATTCACTGCTTTATGCGGACTCTTCTTCAAGAAATCGTAATACGTTATATCACTCTGATCAATATTAATATTCATTAAATCAACCTCTTTGTGATAATCACGTTCATAAAGTTGGATCTTTTGTAAATCGTATTGGTTATTCATTTTATTGAATTTGTCCAAAGTCTTTGCGCGAACCCACATCCCCATTTCTTTCATCTTAATCACGTGCTCTATGAATGGTTTAATTTTTTGGTATTGGACAGTATTACATTCTTTTAAGAGAGTATCAATGACTGTATTATGTTCTTTGTCCTCAATATTAATATCAGCACCGATTTTTAGGAGCAATTTGTGGATATCACAGGACCAATAACCATATTCTTCAATAACGTGATGTAGAGGTGTTTTACCAGATTTATTAACACAATTCACTGATACATCCACCTCAATAAGGATGTCAAGAAGATTTCCAAAACCTTCTATATCGTAGTAGATATCTTCTTTAATCATGCATGCGTAATAGAATACAGTTCTTCCATCTCTATCTCTCATACTAGAATCAGCTCCATTTTTTATTAAATATTTCACAGCCTCTACCTTTTTAGTCCAACAAGCATGATGAAGTGGAGTCCTCATATGATTGCCAACTGCATTAACATCAGCCTGATAGTTTACAAAAACTTGCATGGATTCGAAACATGGTACACATCTATTTTCTCTAGACATTATTAGATCTAGAGGAGTATTTCCTTCAGAATCTTTAATATTAATATCAGCCTTCGCTTTTAAAAACGTTTTAAGAGTCCGATCATCAGTATTAAGAGCTGCATAGTGAAGGGCTGTTCTTCCACGTTTATCTTTGGCATCAATATCATTTATATAATTTAGAATAGATTCAACAATTTCTATTGAAATTTTAGGTAATTTTGCTGCTGAATGTAAAACAGTTTTTCCATCTGCATCTTGCAAATTCACATTAGCTCCATTTTTTAATAGAAGGTCAACCATATGGTACTGTTTGAATTTGACTGCCTCGTGCAATGCTGTGTTATCAAAGTTGTTCTTCATATCAATGTTTGGATTCTTTGTCAATATTGTTTTAACAATATTGTCATCATTCTGTTGAATTGCCAAGTGAAGTGCAGTATCACCGTAGCTATTAACTGCATTGATATCAACATTACTATCCAAAATATCTTGAATAAAATTATCTGCTCGTCCACTCCTAGAAGCCAAATGAAGTACATTATCACCATTGTTATTTTTAATAGCTGAATCAGCGTTACATTCTAATAGAGCTTGTACCAACTCACTATTCTTATACGCCACAGCATGATGAAGAGGAGTATTTCCTTGCAAATCTTGGAAATTAATGTTTGTTTCTTTTTTTAACAAAGCATTAATAATTTTTAAATACGTTTCTTTAGCAGCAGCTTTAACTCCAAAACTAGAGGTGAAAGTTGTCCGTCCGATTGTATGAAGTGGAGTTTCTTTACATGAATTAACAATATTAGCGTCTACATTATTATCAAGAAAAACTTTTATCATATCTAAATTTACTTGTTTAGCTGCCAAATAAAATGGCATGAGACAGTTTATATTCTTGAGTTTATAATCAGCACCTTTTTTTAGAAAAAAATTGACAACTTCCACATTTCCATTAAAAACAGCATTATGAAATGGAGTTTGATCATCTCTACTTTTCTTGTTAAGTTTTGCTTGATCATTAGGAAGACTGTCTAATATTTTCAAACTATTTTTTTCAACTGTAAAATGATGTAGTACTTGATGGTAATTATCTAAGATATTAACATTCGCACCATTACCGATAAGAATATCCACATCAGACATTTCTAAACCAACAGCAACATGAAGAGGTGTCCAGCCTGCTTTAATTCTTGCATTTATATTAAATTTTAAATTTAAAAGAACTTCAATCGCTTCCATATCTTCAGCTATTATTGCACGACATAAAAGTACACCACTATCATCATCTAGATAGAATGCAAATCGTCGATATGAGTTATTTGTATCGATAATCTCTAATTTCATTTGAAGTATCGTTGTATATTCATCTTTTATAGCTTTTTCACATAAATAACGACAATCACTTTTTTTTCTTGTGATAATATGTTTGATACGATTCTCAATAATATTCTCTAGTTGATTTTCCAAATTTGAATCATCACTTTCAGTAATTGATTTTTTTAACAATATTTCTTTAACTCTGACAGTAGAATTGAGAGAAAAATAATCGTCAGATTCTGAACTGTTGTAGTTCCATAGTAGAAGTCCAAAATGAGTAGGATGTTCAAGCTTTAATGGAATCATCTTCTCAATTGTGGATTTTTCTGTTTCTGCTGTTATAAGAATCTTTTTCTGATCATCTTTCCACAAGTAAGACAAATGGAATCTTTTTACTTTAACATTGACATCAGAAAAGGAGTTATCGTGGGTTGAAGCTGTAAATAAATATTTACAGACTTGATTATTACTGCAATAATTCCATCATAAAAAATGTAATTTCATAAATAATTCAAAAGATCGTGACACTTAGCCAATATCTGATTCATATTTCTTGTAATGATTTTAGAGATTAATTCTTTATGAGTAATGATACCTTTTTGATTGTTCGAATCACCATGTGTATGAGACATGATTGACATGTGCTTGATGAAATAGTCAGAAGTACAAAAATATTAAATATTAATCCGTTCTTTCTTTCAATTTTTGTGTTATACGTTGTGTCCATAGACTTTGTTTACAAGTGCGCATCCACGATTGTTGTAGCTTCCATTCATTATTGCGTAATACTTTTTCTCAAGGACATCCCTCCCCATGAAAAATACAATGAATTATGTATATAAATGTAATTGATGTATAAATATGGACAATAAAAATTGAAATCATATATATCATTTAAACAATTTGTCAATTTGTGAAAATAAAAATATTACATTATTTTTTGATGTAGATATTTATTACCCCATTGAAAATTAGAGACTATATTTGCACTACAGAGCAATCCAAAACTCCTGTTAGTAAATGGCACAATGACGTACATGTAGAGCACGAATCAACATCAGCTATATAATATAGTAAAAGCGTTCTGTATGATTTAGAAATAATGCATGTTTTAGTAACTACTACAAAAAGTATTCAAACATTCTATAATTTTATGGACAATGTATTCTTAAAAATGAGCAGCTAAAATCACTCTCGAACAGACGAGAAACATTATCTTATCTTTTCTGAGAAGATGACGAAAAGTTTTTAAAGCAAGGTACTTCACTAGATATTATTTAATCGAGTCGAAATTGCTCAAAGAATTATTTCATTTTCATGAGGTATTTTTACCAAAGCTTCTGGGTGCCCCACCTCTTAAGAGAAACCTTTTTTTGTAAAAGTATTTCTCGATTGATATTATTCAATTGTGTAAAACGAGATATCACAATGTTGAATACAATACCATCATTTTCAGTTAGCGGAGGTTCTAATTCCAGATACAATGTCAAACATTGATCATATTGAAGATCGCTCAAGAACATCATTGCATTTTGCATGCAAAAATCAAGATCTAGAACTTGCTAAAAGTTTGGTAAGAAACGGCGAAAATTCGAATGCTGTTGATGACCAAATAAACACTCCTGTGTTCATGGTTGAACTCCACTTATTACTGCTTGAATACATAATACTGATGTAGCAGTTGAATATCTTTCAGAAAATCATGCTGATTCCAATGCTATGGATCGGATAGGTTATACACACTTCTACTGGATTTTCTTTGTAATAGTAATAGCACAGCTTTGCGTATAGCGCAATTATTCGTACAATATCATACGAATATTGAAGCTCGAAGTTATAACGATCAAACTCGTTACAATTATCTATTACGTCACAACTAAATTCTTTTTAAATAATCATGCTAATCCTTTTGCAATTAATGACAATAGTTGTTCATCTCTCGACGTTGTTTGTGATGTAAAGAATGATGTAATTGTTACGAGTAGATAAGTAAGGCCGGTTCTGGATCACTCTGCAATACCGGCCGAGCCAAAAAGTGGGTTCTGATCCGTACTAATTACCGACCGCGATAACTTTGACGATAAGTTACTGACTTACTGACCGTAATAAGTTTCTCGACAGTGATAATATCGATGACTGACCGTTCTCGATAAGTCATCTTTGGCGATAATACCGATTGCGATAACTTTTTTGGCGATAAATTATCGGCAGCGATTGATTGTGATTTTTTTTTTTTTACCGACCTCGATAAATTATCTTCAATGATAATACTGATTTCTTTCCAACTGCGATTAAAATTTCACTATCAGCAAAAATAATTGATTTTCAAAGTTTTGTCAATGTATTAATATTCTCTCAAATTTGCGCTATTGACTATCGGGTTTTTCTGAAAATAAATGAATGAAAACATTAATTTTTTCGTGTACACAATTTATTTATAGCAAAAAAAAAAATTTGATTAATACATGAATAATATAATCATAATTATAATATATATATATTTTTTACAATATTTGATGTTAGTTTTCTCATTTACGCACTTAAAGGTTTATACTCTATTATTCGATCATGTAAGATACAACAATACAAACAATAGGCTGATGTGTTAGCAGGAAAAGCTTTTGATGATTCAAATTCCAGTCGAACATCAACTGGTCCTGATTTCAAGGATTCATTTTGTTTAGAACAATCAATTACAACGAGTGGTGCTATATCTACAAATTTTTTTTTCGTGAGTAGAGGTTCTGCTTCTTTATCATGATATGATGTTTGAAAATTTCTATACATATCATATAATAAGGTAAATTGATTGTGACTTATGTCGAGATTCATGTTGCCATATGGATAGCATTGTGAATTGAGGAAAAGTTTTACATCCCTTAAATCACAATGATCGAAATGACTTGCATCTTTTGTAGCATCATTTTTGCGTGCAGTTTGAAATCCTAATATAACATACAACTTCTACCAAATAGTGTCCGTGGTGTTATTTGTGGTCCATCAAATTGTGGAAAGACAAATACTCATTCAGCACTTATTGTACATCTAAATGGCCTACGATTTAAAAATATTTATTTGTATTCAAAATCATTCAACCAACCTAAATATCAGTTGTTAAAAAAAATAATTGAACCAATTAAAGGTATTAAATTTTATGCTTTTAATGAGCATGAGGGAGTGGTAAAACCGGATGAAGCAAAACCCAACTCAATTATGATTTTCGATGACGTAGCATGCGAAAAACAAGATAATATGCGAACCTATTTTTTTATGGGACGACATAGAGAGATTAACTGCTTTTATCTTCGTCAAACTTATGCACGAATTCCTAAACATTTGGTGCGTGACAATACAAACTTTCTTGTACTTTTCAGGCAAGATGACATGAATCTAAAACACATTTACGATGATCATGTAAATACTGACATGGCGTATTCTCATTTTCGAGATATATGTGCAATGTGCTGGAATAATGATAAATATGGCTTCTCGGTAATTGATAAAAACAGTGATCTTAATAATGAGCGATATAGAAGAGGATTTGATTGATTCATAAGTATAAATTCATCGTGAATACATTAAATTGTACATTATGTATGTGATTGTCAAAGTGTCAACATGAAAACTACGAGGCTGCAACAAGAAAAAAAAATATTGCATCAAATAGCGAAAGTTAGTGATGCAATACGCCAAAAGCATAAGTTGATTAAACTTGGAAGAGATATGACTCAACAAACCATGAGTAAAATATTTAAACCTATGGTGACTCCTCTTAAACAATTAGCTGATAAAACACTTATTAAAGAGGGACTTCAAGAAATGGAAATAAAAAAAGAAAAACCTAAAGAAGAAGTTGAAAGCAAACAAGAAAGCCTTACACCTGATTATGAAATAACTGATGATAAATCCTATACAACAGCAACAATAACCCATCAAAGTACTCCTATTAAAGACATACCTGTAGTAAGGTATTTGAAGATGTTCGATTCTAAGCTCTTGTCCAAAGAATTAGATACAAAGTATGATATACGAAAGTTAAAGGGTAATCGACTGATGATAGGTGATTCTGAAGTCAGGTTCGACAATAATCTTATTTATATTAGTGATAAAAAATACAATACTACTTCTGGTCTATTGGAATTATTATTTATGAATTCACCTGATCAATCGAAAATAACAAAAGAAGATGAAAACATGTATGGCAGAATTATCAGTATGACAAACGCCTATCGAAAGCATTATCTTCCTGACAGAAGTATCAGAGCAGATAAGAATTTGAAAAAATTCACCGACATAATCAGTAAATATATACCAAAAAGTGAAGAAAGTTTACCACAATATATGATTAAACATAAACAAAATCATCCTACCGATTATATTTATTGGGATGATCCCAATAGCTTGTAGATCGACTTCGTTTACTTATTGCATCTCAAACTGCTGGAAATTTCAGTCATACTAACGAAATTTTATCAATTTTAGAGGAATTGCGTGAAGCTAAAATCTTTTTTTAATCTGATGTATTTTACACAGCTACTTATTCTTTGAAGAACTTTTGAAGTGAGAGGTTTAAAAATGAGTGTTGACGTTTTTGGACGACAATTAGCGAAAGATATTGTGAAAAGTGCTGTTCGTGGGCCTTCTGGTGAAGGATTCAAATTAACTGTGGATCAACAGTTTGACATGGATAATAAGAGATTGTGTAATCTCGCTGAACGAGTAGATTTGAATGATGCAAACTCATCAGGAGTAATTGAAAAAAAGATTACAATTTTAAAAAAATTTATCGAAATAGAATCACGTCTGTTACGCGAAACTGTAGCAAATTCAAGAAGAATTGTTGAAGAAAATAGAGAAAGAATCAAAATCATTAATGTTCGAGTAGAGCAACATATTGAATCATCACAAGAACATCGTAAACGTCTGAAAGAAGAATTGAATAAAACAATTGAACTGCATGAGTCAGATCGATTACGTTTACTGAAAGAAGCAAATCGTAAACAAGCTGAAAGCGTTAAACAATTGGAAGAAAATATTCGGAAATATCTTGATCAGCAGCATCATAAACAAGGAGAAAAAAATAATAACTGAAGAGCTGCATAGACCGGTTAAAAGAAATTATCAACGACAATATGTTGATATACGTGGGCTTGATGAAACTTGGCAAGCTGATCTAGTCGACATGACAGCATATAAATCTTATAATAAAGGTCATCAGCATTTATTGACTGTTATTGATATTTTTTCAAATTACGCTTGGGCTGTGCCCACAAAATCTAAAAATGGTAAAGATGTAGCCCATGCAATGAAATCGATTCTATTACAAAAAAGAGTGCCAAAATTTTTGCATGTTGATAGAGGAAAAGAATTTTACAATAAAGAATTTGAAGCACTTATGAAACAATAAAATATCAAAATGTATTTCACATTTAGTAATTCTAAGGCATCTGTATGTGAACGATTTAATCGCACGTTAAAAAGTCAAATGTGGAAACAATTCACGTTGCGAGGTAATTACAAATGGATAGACATCATATAACAATAGCAAACATAGAACCATCAAAATGAAACCGATTGATGTTACTTCAGCCAATGAGAAACAATTACGTCATACACTGAGAAAAAATTCTTATAATTTTTATGATAAATTTAAGAAAAAATTACGGTGCTTTCTCGTAATGCGGACATAAGTGACAGGCAAAGGAAAAAGTACTATAAGCCCACGAAAAAAATACGCTGTGGCACCGTAAAATTTACTTCCACGGCAAAAAGTAAAAATTTCGTTGTGGCACCGTAAAATTTCAGTCTACAGTACAAGTAAAAAATTCGGTGTGGTACCGTAAAATTTATG